TACCTGATGATGGGCTATGCCCGAAACATGTCGTATCAAATAAATTTCTACTGAGGCAGATTAAAACCGTGTTGCTTTTGATTTTATATCCTATCACTCTGCCTATGCAGCTTCTTTGATTTTATTACATATATATATATATATATATATATATTTATATATATAATATACAATATTTACAGGACAACATTCATTGAGAGCTATATTACATGATGTACCATAATAAGCAATTAGTAGAGCTCCGCATAGTACACTATAGGAAAATTATTATACGAAGGTTAGATTTAATGTTTGAAAAAATTTTTGAATGCATTAAATTTAACCTATTAAGTATAGTAATTTTCCATTTAGTGTACGATGCATGCTCTATTAATTGCTTTATAAGTCAATCGCCGTCTTTTAATTTTAGTTATTTATAACCAACTGTTGTAGCAGTCATCGGCTGCTATAGTGATATGATCAGTATACGTGTGCGTATTTACATTTAGCTGTGTGTATGCTGATTTTTGCTTCTGCAGTACGCATTTAATTAACTACACATCAGCAGTACAGTATGGATGATACAATGAATAACTATTGTAATTTATATTGTGTAAGAAAGAACTTGTTTGTAATGCTATTTTGATAGACTTTCGTCAAAGAAATATACATTTCAGCATTCGAAAGAGAATACATTCACAGACCTTTTTGGTCGGTGCATGCAGACAGACAGGTAAAATCGTGCAATGATTTCATAACTAGGCTAGGCTACGGCCTAGGTGGTAGTAGGAGGCCTGGGCGGCCTCCTGCCTGGCCGTAGGCCTACATCTAAATTTGGTCTGCGAGTCTTTAAAATAGGTCTAGAATATTCCTATTAAACATTCAGTTTGTTGTGTTTATGAGGGTCGATTGATTCAATGAATTCCTTAATTGTTCATACTTCATATCGAAAGCATAGCCTTAAAAGTGTTGTCATTATAACAAATTAATTAGAATCCAGAATTTACTCAGGTGTGTTTTTTAACCGATTATTTACATCCTTGTTATGCAAGGTTCCTTTCACTAATAAAGAAACTTAATTTACTAATTTACACTGGTAGTTGCTGTTGTGTGCATGACTTTTACACCGTCCAAACCCACAAAGAACGTGGAGAGGAATTCAAAACCAGGACTGTGGTGAGCAGATCAGGATAATAGTTCTGAGGCCCTACAAACTTTCTAAAATAATTAACTTTCTTTTATGATCTATCAATCCTTGAATTTGAGTATTGGTAATGTTGTAATGCATTAGAGGATTCCTTAATGAATCTCAACATATTTATATGATATATATGCAGCCTATTATATCTATATATTTTTTTATTACTTTAGGTTACTTAAAAGCAAAATAATCTTGAAATGCTAGTGCAGCTGCTGATTTCCATTTGTTTTTTTTTTCAACGCAATGTAGGGTAATTATTACAATTTAATGCATGCCATAAAATTGAAGATGTAATAAGTGTTTTGAGAAAACATAGAATGATGTTTATTCAACATTTCAACATAAATAGTTTTTTCCTCAATGCATTGCACTTGTTTATTCTATTGGAAATAATGGGATTTTCTTTCCTTTAGGAAATTATCTGAGCAGTAGAGGAAATTTAATTGAAATGCATTGTAGGATAGATACTGACTGATAACATTTTATAAGCAATGTAGCAGTATACTAAGGTTATAGGTCATGACACAAATTCACATGTCATTAGTAGTTATGGAATCTCATTGCAGTTTCTCTATTGGAATTTTGTCTTTGCTGGAAAACTATTGTAACAAACATCAAAGTGACAAACTTTGTGTCTTGTCTGTTTAGAGTTGGTTAAATGCTAAATGTCTCAACAAACATATTTATGTTGATTTTAACAGACAACAATATGCAGTTTTATGCCTGGCTAGCTCATTACCAGCTTCCATGCTTTATTTGACTCAAATCTTTGTATCATGCATTGATCATTGTAGATCTACCCAGTCCTTGTCAACAATGGCCGTATTCCACTGGCCGTTCTTCGTTAAACCACGCCCACCTGCGCAGTGGTAAAATCCTACTTAATGAAGACGACCAGTTGAATAGAAAACTGGTAAATACTTGACAAAACAAAATGGCTGTATAGTTACCGCAATACATGCTGCATAATCAAGGCTGCTTCGGATTGTGGCAGTATGGGTTTTTTGTAAAAAAATGTTTTCATCCAGTTTTTGAATTCTGTTAGCCTACAATTATTTTTTGACTTCAATGTGGGTAAATATTATAATTTTTATTTTCTGAAATTTAATCTAAATTATATTAACGCAAATGTTGTTGCTAAACTGACCGGTCATATTTTTTTTTTAGTCACATGCATAACTTAACGCTGATTAACGCATTCTGGTTACGTTAATTTTCCTTGTCAATGAAGTCTATTTTACGAACCAGTCGAATGAAAATAGTACTCAACAAAATTCGTACTCAACAAAATGAACCGTTCCAATAAGCCAAATATCATCTTCATTAGCAAGATATAATGTAACACAAATATATAAATAGTAATACCCTAATTTATGATAATAGCAACATGGATAACAAAATCAACAATTGTAATGAATATCTTGTACAGCTTTATGATATTTTTATATTGATTCAAAATTCACATATTTTTCATTATTATTGTATTATTATTTTTCTTATTATAGTAGTATGTGTTAAATCATTCTTTATTCAGATATCAATCGATACAGTACAAAAGAATGGGAATAAATAATTCCAGGACATCGACTGGTTCATAATCCATATGGGGGAAAAAAAATAAACTAATGAGAAAAAACAAAAGTTTTATTTTTGTATTATATAATAATAATTATTATTATTGGTATTATTGTTATGAATATATTCTTCTTTAAATTTTAAATTTATATAGCCTTTATTGATTCAATGTACTTTCTGATTTTCGTCATTTGATTGTATTTTATTGTATGTGTTGCTGGGCCCTGGAGGAACAGTGCTTTTGGTCCCTCAGGGTAAAGAAGAAATAATTAAATAAAAGAATAAACAATGCAAGAAAATAAATATATATATATTTTTTTGATATAGGATAATTTAGTGAGTCCAGATGGTCTACAGGATATTGCCTGCAATAAAAGAGACATTGCTCAAATATTCAATACATCTCGGGGCAACATAACAGTAAGTTATTGGATCACGTTTCGCATAACACATAAATGTGCAATTATGCAATTTCTTGCTGCTTGAAAAATTTCAAAGTTACCAATCGCAAAGGTAGTGTGAGAAAGAGCAACATCTTGCATACTGTACTTTTAAGATAATACATCATATTCTGCTTCTGTCCTTCTTTTCTGCATTTTGGCTCGTTGCCATTATTTCAAGGGCTATTATGTGTTCCAGTGACCTTTCCAGCGCCATATTTGCTAAGTGTCTTCTGATCTGATATGGCAGGCTTAATATATAATAATGTATAGATATTTACAGTGCAATATGCAGACTTTTATTAATGCACATTAATATATAACTGTATGTTTCATCATAGTAATGCATAAATCAAGTAATTGCATAAATAATTAATGTGTATCATGATTAATTAAGGATTTCGACTGATAAAGTATTTTTAATCTAAGAAAATGTTAGATGCAACTGCATACTGTAATTACAAATGAGTGTTCTTATTCTTCAGTTACACTTACAGTATTTCATGCAGTTATAATATATCAACCATTTTGAAAATATCTACTGTATATTATAATTATGCTTATTCCAAAGCCTACAGTCACAGTTCAAAACGGTGGTCCTCAATAAATGTCTGGGATTTAAAACCTACCAGTCTGAAAAACTGTAACAACATAAAACATCAATGTCTTGATCTCAAGAAGTGAATATGTTTTTCACTGGACCAGTACTTATTTCCCGACCACATGTTGTTGACGCACATACTTCTGCATTCCATAGCTGTGTCTCAGTGACACAGTCGTTTTTCAAGCACATTTGGTTTTCAGGCACAGTCGGTTAACAAAAACATTTGATTTTCGTCAACCACACTCGTTTTCGGTTTCTCAATTAATCAGAGTAAAACATTGCTTTAGCTGCCTCTGAACAAAATATGCTATACTGTAGGCCCTATTGTAAATCATGTTAATTTTAAAGCAAACAAAAAAAAAATAATAGAGAGAAAAACAAGATATTTCCCCATACCCATTAACACTGCTGTTGTTTCATGTTTTAGTGGTTTTTAAATATTTTTATGTTATGAAAAATTATTATGAGACTGCTATTAAAACCTCTATTTACGCTTATTTCAAAGCCTACTGAAAAAAATCATTACTGCTGTTTCATGTTTAAGTGGTTTCTAAATATTTTTTGTTATGAAAAATGATATGAGACTATTATACCTAAAGTGCAATGCTAATTGTCCATGAAGCATGCTTTGTTAATGGCGGTTTCCATTGAATCGCTCACCCTATCGGCGACAGTCGCAGACAGTTGTCGGGAAGGTTGAACCTGGTTCAACTTTGCCAATTGCATTGCAGACGAATCGGGGTGCCTTCCCGATTGTGTCAGGGCAGCTAGCAATGCACCCTGATTCCTGTCTCTTATACACATCTTTTACACAGGGGGACATCGGCCATACGTTGGTGACATCGCACCCACCCCCTTCCCTCTCTAGTTTGGAACATCAACCCCCGTCGAGCAATACCAGCACCACGACTGTGGATTCGGCTGTAACATAAATCCGCTTTATTTATCCCAGGTAAAGCTCGGTTTTCATTGAATCGCTCACCCTATCGGCGACAGTCGCAGACAGCTGTCGGGAAGGTTGAACCTGGTTCAACTTTGCCAATTGCATTGCAGACGAATCGGGGTGCCTTCCCGATTGTGTCAGGGCAGCTAGCAATGCACCCTGATTTGTCTGCAATGCAATGGGCAAAGTTGAACCAGGTTCAAACTATCTTGACAACTGTCTGCGAATGTTGCCGATAGTGTGAGTGATTCTATGCAAACCGAGCTTAAATCATAAAACATGATCTAACCACTGCTTTTCTGACATTACGTAACTAAAGAAATAACTGAACGGAATAACATGCATCCTATGTTCTTTAGTTGTCATATTGTTCTTTTTGTTATTGAAAAAAATCACGATGTTCACTCGCCCCGCTCGCTTACCCTCTAGTATTGGTAAATTTTTTTCAAAGGTAAACCCTTTAAAACTTCATAGTATTGCCACATCCGATTTATTTTATCTACAGTTCTATGAACTATATTTTGAAATTTTAGATAATTTTGATTTTATACCAGAAACTATATAAACATTTTTTATTGTAATAAATAAAAAGTTTTGTTATAATTTATAGGGTGATTATTTGTCACGTTTGTGCAATGAGGAAGGTGCATCAGATGTTTTTGAGGAATTCTCCCAAGTTTTACGTGATCAACTTAATTCTAAGATAATAGCAGACAAGGTAAGATTTCTTTCTTGAACCAGTGATACCAGTAATAATTGCGAGCCTTTAAAATTTCAGTAGGAAAATGGAGGAACAGTCAAATTTGATTCTTCTGCCCTTTTACAGTTTTGTTTGTTAGTTTTCCTTATAGCATTAGGATAATTCATGGTTATTTTTCTTTTTGTTCATAAAAGGCATAAATGCAACTTTATTGTAATGTACTATATGAGACTTGCATTATTATTATTATTATTATTATTATTATTATTATTATTATTATTATTATTATTATTTTGATAAAACCTGCCTTAAGGGGAAATTAGACAATGGAGAAATTAGAGAACAATTGAAAAAACGACATTAAGGGGAAAATGACATGACGTTAAAAGGAAAGTAACACAAAAGGTATTCCCCTTATATATTATTATTATTATTATTATTATTATTATTATTGTTATTGTTATTGTTATTATTATTATTATTTTTGTGTGCAAGTGGAATTCCATTATGGAGATTTCAGTAATGAAATATTAAATGAAAGTTTTGATTAATAATAAAATAAAGTAGTTATATGTTGTTTATTTTTTTTAAGCTTACCTTACAAAATATTTGAATACAAATGGATAATAATGATGATGATGACTGTTAATAATAAAAGGTGTTTGTAAATTAACAACGATGAGTTATTTTACAATTTCTATAAAATATGTTTCATATTATGACTTTTATATCTCGCTTACATTTGTACCATGTCCATGAGAACATATAGCGATACTACAAATAAATATGATGATCAGAAATTGCTAATATGATTGTATAGTAGCCTGTTTAATTAATTCAACCTTTTAAAATGTACTTGGCCTATAAATGGTTTTTAATAGAAATATTACAAATCTTGATAATGACAGCATGAGGTTCACTTATTATGGAAAGCTCGCAGGCTAGCCCTTCTTCACATCCATGCACAAGGACATTACTGTACAAATACTTGGAAGAATTTCATCTAGTCATCACTTGAATATACTGTGAAAGGTTCTCTATTGTATAGACTAAAGGTTTTTTGAAACTTTGACAGTTTACTAAATACCCTTAGCATATACAATAAAGAACCTTTCACAGTAGATTACTGTACAAAACTGTAAATAATACCGCTGTGCATGGATGTGAAGAAGCTCCCAGGGTAAAGCTTCTTAGCATCTGCCATTCACATTATTTACAAATTTAATAATCATGGATATGAGATTCAGGAATTCCTGATGATGACATAACTAATGTCGAAATATTGAATCCCAATACAATGGCGTGTGTATTTCAATACTTGAAGGATGTGTTATACTTCCTTATCTGAGATTAATCAGTGAACCTTTGAAGTTACTGAAATAATTAAATTATTTTTTAAATATAAAGGATTAAGTAGACTTTATAAACATGTTATTATTTGAATAGATTTATTATCCAGTAAAAAAATATTAAACAAGCTCCAAACAGAAAAAAAATGATGTAATTTTATCATGTTTCCATATTTTAAAATTTATTTGAACATTCACAGTGGTGGATTCAAGGGGTGGGAGGGGGAGGGAGGTGGAGAGGTGGGGTTGCCAACTCATAGATAACCTCATAGTTAGTCACACGTAATTTTTTTTAAAATTTGTTATGACATTATTGAAATTATTTGTTGTAATATTTAATGCATTATTACTACTGTTGTTTTTGTCTTTATTTATTTATTATTATTATTATTTTTGTTTAATGTAAAAGGTATCTCTTGTTAAACCAATAAAAGTAATAGACTTACTACGTTTATGGTTTCAGTAGCCTTGATCACGCGAATGACATAATTTTTATTGGTTTATCAAGAGGTAACTTTTCAATTAAATATTTCTTGAAAGTAGATGAAATTCTTTGAGAATTATTGCTGTTTAATGTTGGAAGTAGATTCTAATTATCTGTATATTTGAACTTATGTAAAACAAATAATTGTTTTTATAATCCTATGAAATTATTAATTTCAAATTACAGCTGAATATATCTCTGAACGATTTGATGAATACGAGGAAGTATGCTGAGAAGGCTTTAGCCGATGTAAGTATATCCAGTTATTATATTCAGCTGGAAACCATAAGGTACCATAAAAGGACGGTATTTCTATGATGATACGGGGGTCCCAATTCTCCACTTGTCATAGGAGCCCCTCCTAGAAATTGACTTGATCTTACTCACTCCCATAAGCAAGCAAAAACACAAATGAACGTAAATGATCATATCACAAAAGAATATAATATCGGGGCTAACCTTGACTTTGTAAAACAGACAGTTAATTCCATGGAGTTCCCTCAAAAATATGAGATAAAAATGTAAAAATATAAAATATTAAAATCTAAATATAAACATGTAAAATATAAAATTAAAAAAATCTGAAGTTTACCGAAGTGTATAGCTTTACTCATAAAGTATAGTGGAAAAATTTTTTAAAGTACAGTGATAAAGAAAGTTTTATTCTTTCCCTTAGTTTCAGACATTTGCTACTTTTGAAAAACATCTTTATGATTTATATGTACTGGCATCCAAGTTACCAGAGGGTAACTGTCCAAAACCACCAGAACCAGCAACAACAACGCCCTCAATTGAGGATGTGGAAATGACCACGGTGAAGAGTAAAGTTTCAGAAGGGGTATCAGATAAACCAGATGACATAACAACGGTACCGTCAAATACAGTTAGTTATGATAGTGGCGACGACAATGATGATATGTTGTACAACGCTTCCGATACCGACGAGAACTTTTTCACAACAGTTACGACACAGATGCACACAAAAATGAAGGTCACACCGGTGCCCCTGGTGAAACCTAAGAAAAAAGCAGAAGATGCTAAAAAGAAAAGAAAAATTAGCCCCCAGAAGAAAAAACTTCTTAGGTTATATAGACTCTGGGCTAATATGCAGCCGGTTTTGTGCGGGAAGGAAGTTCGGACGGCTACCGACGAGCAGATGGAGAATGGGGACTACAAAGCGCTTGGTTTTGATCACCATCAAAAGAGAAGCTTTGAGATTTTAGTCCATATTTTGTTCAGCAACCCAAAAATACTATATGCACCAAATACAACTGATGTGAATGCTGTTATTAACCAAGTAGGCATCTAGATATTTATATATTTTTATATATTTTGATATATATTAATACATTTTTTTATTGTTTAACATTTAATGATCATTCCCTTTTTCTTTATTTCACAAATGTACTCCACACAAATGTGTGTTGTAGTGTTTAAAGCCAGGCTGTGGAGGAAATTTTTTTTTATATGTTGTACAACTGATTTTCTACGACACAAAAACTATTTTTGATGAAAAACTTGCAGATACAGATTTTTGAATATTTAAAAACTCCGGGAAAAAGGGTTTTTAAATATTAAAAAATCTGTATCTCAACTGCTTCTGAGTTTTTCATCAAATATGCTTTTTTGTGTCTTTGAAAAATCAATACAAAAATATCAATATTTTTCCCTCCAGGATCTGGTTTTAAGGCTTCAAAGAAACTGGATAATGGAACAGGGAACAATGAATCTCTGCTTTTTGTTTCTTCCCAGTTTAAGTGTTTTGGGGCATTTTATGCACTATATCAGACCAACACCATTACTTTATTATTATTTCTTCTGAGTCATGCATGCATTGCAGGCTTAATTCCATCCCAAATCATTCACCGCCTACCATGCACCCATTTGAGATGATCGTAGAAAAAAATGTCTAACCCAATAACGCTTGTAAGCAATGTGATAAGTATCGCTCTTCTGAATCGATTAAAGGCTCACCACTTTACCACTATGTCACGTGCTCAAATCAGTCAATCATTTTTTGTTTTTTAATTATATATATACATGCAGTGTCTACTGTGATATATCTTCCATAATATTTTTGTGTATTCATTTCCTTATACAATTGTGGATGCTTGGTCATCCTATTTTTTTCTCTTTCTCTTATTGCCATGATTTGTATAATAAATGAAATGCCATGGAATGACTATAAACTTTAGCACATTATATTTATGCTATTGTTAGTATATAAACTATTATTAAACTTTTTGTTTTTTTTAGGCCAGTGATTTTATCTTTCTTTTCAACAACATGACACACTTATCAAATGTATGGCTGAATGTTTCCAAGGAGATAAGGGAGCAACTCTTTGACAACAGGACAGAGAGGGCGGTAGAGTGGATGGCAGTGGTGAGTAATTGATATTTCATTAGTCGAAAGAGCCCTAGATTTGTCATGTGTTACAATCTTCTGTTTTTTTAGAAAGTTCATTTTTAAAGAGTAATATCTGTACAGAGACTCAGTTAATGTTAAACTACTTAAAAATGATGGGTCCTAATATATATTTTGCATTATTATCTGTTGTTCTTTTACAGTTTGTTTACATATATTCAATTTGAATCTGAAATAGTAAATTTTACCAACATTTTTTAAACTTAATAATTTAGCCTATGATCTGTATACTGTCAGTTGTTTAATTGTCTGTTGCTTAATATATGAAATAGAAAAGCAAATGTTCATTGTCATGTATATTAAGACATATTGGGTTGAAATACTACACCAATAGAAATAGTAATATCTGTGCATGGTGGTTTTTTTATGCTTCCATGCTCTATGCTATATTGCATTGGACATCACACTAGGCTGGTATTCTTCCTGGTATATTTATTGGATTAACTATTCACTGGGCTTTGGTTTTTTAAATAATATCAAGTGGAATATCTTCCATACTTATAGTTAACATGGTTTTAATCCATCTGTTTTCAAGATAACCAATGACAATGGTAATAAAATAATAATAAATAATAACATATAAATTATCTATAATTATTAAATACAAACTCTACATAAATAAGTTCACTAATTAAGTAACTAAAAACAGTACAAAATTTTGCAGTTCTTGCATCATGCATCGATGTCAATGTAAAAAGTGGCTACAATATCCTTTGATTAATTGGATTGTAACGGAGCGACTTATCATGATGAAGGCTCTACAAATGACCATCAAAATTATTTTTAGCGAGGACAGGACAGAAGCATCTAATATACATGGCTTCAAGCTGATAATTAATCTTCGATAACTAGCATGATGCCAGAAAGGAAACTGTACAAGATACAATGACAACCATTATCGCAGAGCACAGCATGCCATCAATCAGAAATAATGTCTCAAACAAGAACACTAGTTTATTGTATATTGTTATGCATCTTTAATTAGTCCATGTAAAAAAATTGGTTAGCATCCATTTTTAAAATTTTCGTATGTAGGGAGGGAGGTTTTTCTTCTTTTTTTTTTTGGTCAAACCTGGAAAATGGTGCTGTGCGCTACATAGGAAAACTAAATTACAATGTTCCTGAGAATGTATAAAATGAAATAGATAATAAAACAAATGAATATGTTTCAAATTACTTTTCAAGAAATGAAGAAACATCATTCTTAGTAAAGGACAAAATGCATAAAGACTGTCCCCGAGTTAAACACATACACAAAATTTTGTGCTGGGGTCAATTCTTTGTCATATTTATAGAAAAAAACGTAGGTTGGTGACTTTTTTGATGTCGGGAGGAGATGCTAAGATTTCCTTACTATTATACATTGTAAAAGTTTTGATTTCATATTCATTTTAGTTAGTAATATCTTCTATCATTATCCTTTTTTGTGATGCTTTGTATTATCCATAAAAAAATTATTAGTTTAGGTCAAGTAAAAAAAAATACATGTTTCTTGTCCCCGCCCGCTTCTGTTTTTGGAGCCGCCTTCTATTTTTTGTTATTTATTATTTTTTAATTTCAGAAAAAGAGATAAAAAATTAGCCAAAAAAACCCAGTAAAACCCAGTAAATACCGTATTTTCGGTACATACATCGTGCGCCGAAGTCTTCATGGCCTATACATATTGCTCTCCAACATTCACATATGATACTTGTGAATTTTAATGCCTGAAAAACGATGACTAGTCAATGGCCTAGCTAGGCCCACATTCATTATGATGCGCGACCGCCTGCTTGATCTTTCAATCTCACAGGCCGGTGATGAAAATCATCATACATCACCACCGAAGCGAGCCAGGTTGTAGGCCTAGCTCTAGCCTCAGGCCTCGATTATTATTACATTATTTTATGTGATTATATATTATACATTACACCTAAATAGGTCATCCAAGCGTATGTGTATTGTTGGTGGAACGTGGCAATCTTATCTTGGGGAAAAATAACAAAAACCATAATAACAAAATAAAAAAAAGTAATAAATACGAAGTGCCTCCTCCTTCCTTTTTTCAGAAAATCCGGATGAGAAACATTTATTTTTAATTTTCTAGGCTGGAAAAGTGATGAGGGAGGGAGGCATATTTCAAAAAAAGAAAAAAAAATCAAATCCAAAATACATTTTTTTTTTCACAACACATGCGGGTGAGGGAGACTAATATTCTTTTTTATTGGGCCTTAAAAAAATTGTTGCCGTTATTTATATAGTAGTATTTACTGTTAATTTATTATTGCAGATTTTTTTCCCCTCCTGGATCTGATTTGAAAATTGAATTTGAAAAATAGAATACATTGTGGTAGCTCCTTGGGTATAGGTTCACCTCTTAAACACCAAATTGGGCCAATTTTAGAAGTTGGGTTTTTTTTTTTATTGTAGCAGCTAGATGAAAGGGACATGTCGCTTAGGACCTATCAAGTGTATTTTAGAGGCCAGATGAAAGTGTTGCTTAGGACCTATCAAGTGTAGGATTTCTGTCCTAAACCTCTTTGAAGTTTTTTGAGCAATTTGCATAAAAATTATTCAAAATGTATGTGTATCGTTATCTGAGGTTAACTGAGTAAATATGGTGAATATAAGAACATACACCAGCACGGAATTGAAAAATTGTGTAGTTCATAAATTTCAAGTATATATTATGCTTACAAACAAAAAGTTTGACTCAAACTTTTAAAATTAATTACTAATCATTGACTGTGTTTAATTGTTTACAATAAAGTTTATTTATTACCTCTTTTGTATCTTTACTGTTCATTTACTGCTCACCCTTCAAACAATCAACTATGTAGAATGTTTTTTCTTACAGATGCAAAAGGAGCTATACAATCATAACATGCTTTTTCCCAACATAAGCCTGAATGTTTTCCCACGGGAATATATATATAATGCTACCAACAATGCCACATCGGTGCTTTTGAAAGAGTTGAACACCATTGATAATGCTGCTTGTGCCTGGCTGGAGATCGCATCTTACTTCAATATGGATATCTTCAAACCGTTTCCAAGTGAGGAGGCTCTGGTTGACTATGTCTTGCATCAGGCTGCAGCAGACAATGTTACTGTTCTTGCAAGTAAGACTTATAGAAATTGTTATTACTGTTATACCGTCAATGTTAGAATAAGTGGCGCTCTCGAATAAGTGCAGCACCAAACCAGATTTTTTTTCGCTAAACGCCGCTATTGAATAAGCACCGCAGTGCTTAATCGAGAGTATATATTGCCCTGTGTGTAATGAAACACTTTGAGAAACAGGGTTTTAAATACAAGATATACAGTGTCGACTGTCATGTGCAGTGGATGCCCGGCTTTAAAATTGTGTCCCTATCTCCCATAAGTCACAGGAGTCTCTGTGAATTCAACGTGGTGTCATGCACTTGTGCGAGCAAATCAACTCTTTTGGAAACTAATCCATCTTTTGCAAATTCAGAATGTTGCAAGTTTTTTATTGTATTAGTAATCGCCTCCCTGAAGTTAACTGGTGAAAGGTGTTGCCCCTTCCAGGTATCATCTAGTATATATAATATAAGATGTGTTTATAAGAGCCTCAAAGAAATTTCCCAGATGAAGCTTCTTGGGACCACTGTTAAAATTATATTATTCACAATCACAATAACATTTATTCAGTTCTACAAAATGTAATAATTTATAATTATTATAAAAATAGCATTTTTACTGTATAGAGAGAAATATATATTAATTTTGGCAAGTTTGACATTTTACACATGTAGTAGCTAATCTTTGTCCTTTGTTTTTAGATGTTGTTTTTCAAGTGGATAGGAATGGTGAACTTCCACCACACACTGTATTCAAGATTCGTCAGAACTCGTCGTTCACAGACCGCACAGATTTAATCCGGAAACGTTACTGGACACCGGGATCAAACCACCGTAATATCCTGGGCTATTACACGTATGGCTTCGTTTGGATTCAGGACCTTATAGAGAGGGCAATCATCGACATGAGGGTTCAACGAAAAGTGACTGAGCCAGGAAATTACGTGCAGGAATTTCCATATCCTTGTTATAGACATGATAAGTGAGTATATGAAGACAGAAGTATGATGGTATCTAAAATGTGTTATACAGACCAAAACAGTGACCTTGCTTGCCTCTTCGATTGTAATCTACATTTTAACGGAGGTGTATTTCACTCTTGCTCAAACATTTAACATAAAGCATTTGTATGCTACTAGTTACCCCTTTATGGATAGAGATTGAGAGAGGCAAATACAGTTGTACAAGATTTGGTAAGGTTTTCTTTGTTATGAAACATACCAGTGATAAAATGTACGAAAGTCTGAAACTTCAGTGGGGTCATTTTGGTGAGGAATTGAACAATGCACCAAGAAACAATCCACTGCTGCTCTTTTAAAAATGAATGTGCAGTGTTGTTTAATATGCACATGTGTAACAGCTTATAAATGTCTCTGATTAAAGATGTGCTGTGTATTATACTTTATTCCACACATCTAAAACACAAAGAAAGCAGTGATGGTAATTGAACCGTGGACCAATGCTATCTAATACATCTGCACAGTTTAGAACACAGCACCAGTTTAGCTGACTGAGCCATGCTGCTTTCTCAATTGCCATGTCCTAATAAAAGTGAGTGGTCAAAGTGGTATTCAAATCCCACCCTTGCTGATGAGAGTCAGAATTGCAACCGCTTTAGAAACTGATATATATTTTCAAAAAGAATAATAATCTATCATTAATTTATTAAATATGTAATTGATAGATATATTTTTGTTTTATTAATTAATTTTAAAAAATCTTATTTTCAGGTTTTTGTTTACAATCGAACACATCATGCCAATGATTATGATCATTTCCTGGGTTTATTACGTGTCTATGCTGACCCAGAGCATTGTGTATGAGAAGGAGAAAGGTTTGAAAGAGGTAGGTAGATGAAGACATTGGCCTGTCAGTATTTCTATATGGCAGATTATGTTGTAATTCAAATGTGCTCACTAAGTATATGACTTGTGGGTATAATTGTTGATTTATATAGAACATCTATTGTCCTTTTATGTCATATGCTGCCCATAGGCACAAGAGCTACAGTAGACCAAGAATTCAAAATGACAACCTCAGATTTAAGAGCCAAAATGACTGTGCTAACTGCACCCACATAAACAAAACTCATGACTTTAGATCATTATCATTTGTCAGCATTTAACCCAGTCTTGCAATGGAAACAGCGCTATGACATGCTTAGTCTAAAAATTGTCTAGTGCGTGGTAGTTGGGGCGTGAGGTGTGAGAGGTAGTATGTATACGATTACGACACAACACAGATAGTCATAAGATATCGTAGAGTTTTGAACAAGTTCAAAAAATGGTAGTGTCGTAGTGCAGCTTATCGTAAGAAAAATCGCAATGTTTGAGACTTGTTTTGATATATTAATAATGTATTTTTAAGGGTGAAAAAAAGAACTGCTGTTACTTACTACTATTTACTTTCAATGCTTCAATATAGGTAATGAAACTTATGGGACTAAGCAATGCAGTGCATTGGGTGGCCTGGTTCATCACTAGTTTCTTGGAGATGTCAATAACTATAATTGGCTTGGTTTGCATCCTCAAGTATGGAGATGTCCTAGTCTACAGCAATCCAGTGATCGTGTGGCTTGTCCTCACAACTTTCTCAATCGCCACCATCAGCTTCTGGTATCTATTTCTCACAGTATCTACTTTATTGTCATAATCTAAAGAGAAACATTAATATCCATTTATATGGTCATTGATTAAATGAGAACTGCTTCTAACTCTAAATCTAAGCCTGGTTTTCATAAAATCGCTACAATGTTTTCGGTGAAATCGCTGTACTGCATTGCAGTCCCTGTCGTCGCAACCGGGAAGGCTTACCGATTCGACCGACCAATCAGAGCATCACCAAAAGCTGTCAGGAATAGCGTGTAGCGATTGTATGGAAAGCAAACTCTTGTAATCAGGAATTATTAATATATGAAATATTAATTTGTGTTTGTTGCCTTAACATTACATAATTTAAAAAAAGACTCTATTTTCTATACTTGTCGTGGTGCACATAATAACAGCCATAGAATCCTCCAAACATTTAACAGCTAAATGAAATACATTTAAATTATGTATTTAAACTAACAATTTTATTGTGACAAATAAATGTGATATTGCCCATATTTTGTGTAATATGACATCATGCCCATATATAGGCACATCACACAAATTTGTCACATAAAATTTAATAATGTGGACAGAGATTTAGATTGAGATATGTACATTTGTGGCAAATACAAGCCAAACCAGTCACTCTTCGCAAAAATTAATTTTGAGTTGTTAATATAGGGTTAAAGAGTGAAATGAGAGCTATAAAATGGTAAAAAAATCATTCAAATCTGACATTTCCTTATGAAGTTACAAGCGTGTGAACATACACTGTTATGAGAAGTCAGCCTTCAAAGTTTATTATTTAGGGCATTTCTCATGCAGAAACTATCATCAAATCCTAAAAAATGGGGAAAATAACAGCATAGCATGATGTATAGATATATAAAGGTTAGTTTAGTGCAATAAAATAGATTTTTAAAATTTTGACATTCCAGCATGTTTTGGCCATTTTCTCTGAAACGCTATTTGCAACGAGTGACTGGTTTGGCTTTTCTTTGCCACATTTTATCATCACTCTTTCTCATCTCAGATTTAAATCTTTTCTCTCTTTTTTAGCTTCATGGTCAGCGTGTTATTCTCAAAAGCTAGGCTAGCAGCAGCCTGTGCTGGTATAATGTACTTCACTAGTTATGTACCTTACCTGTACATTGGCATCAGAGAGGAGACAGCTTTTCAGGACATATCACTCCTAGCAAAAAGCATTGGTGTAAGTTTCACTTTAGTTCAGGCTTTAATGATATATGTATTAATGCGTTTTACTATATATGACATGTTCCCACAAAAAACTAGACAAAGTGACAAAATATAATACATCACTTTATTCTCATAACTTTAAATTTAAAGCATATATTAATATTATATGTAAAACAAAAAAAAGCTCTCACCCATCAGATGTTGTTAAAATGTTGTCATATGATAGAAATGTGAATATTATACAAATAATAAATGTTTATGAGTGCAATGGGAAGAATATTTTCATGAGTTGAATGGAACAGTCAATCTTTCAACTCATGAAAATATTCTTTCCATTGCACGAATACATTCATTATTTGTTTTATAACTCACCTAAATAGATCAGTTCGACCTAGGCCTAGCTATCCTGGCCTACATATCCTCCGCACAAAACCAACCTAGGGCTAGGCCTAGGCTAGAAATCCGTCAGCGCATTTCAGAAAATAAAGGCTGAATTCCGCACAGATTTTGCGCAAGTTTGAGATATTTTTTGAGGTATTATTTACACAATTAGAATACTTTACACTTGTTAATAGTTAACAAAATCTCCAATACATTGCACACCGCTAAGACAAGTTCAGCAAACAGTAGGCCTGATGAGAGAGGTTATAGGTGACGTAACGTCGTTTCATGGTTTTAACCTTCCAGAAAAAGTCAGTCCTGCGTCTTTTTTAACCAATCAAAAGATTGTATTAGGTTGAAGTCATCTCGTATCCATAGGCAAAATGCAATGGACTATACGGGTGAAAAAAAAATGCACGGTGGAACAAAATTTCAACAATAAGCAATGAAATGAGCAAAATAACTAATGTCACATGGTACGAAATCAATCTATCAAATAACTGGTATCTATTGAGGTGTGTCATAAAACTAAATAATTTAGGATTAGACAAATTAATTTTTGATTTGCTCAAAACGATTACTTTGCGACTTTCATTGGATTTCAAGTGAATGCGTCATGCATTATATTTTTTTGAATTTTGAATGAGCACTTTCTTCCATTTGCATCATTTACATCAAGATAACACATTTGATAATTTATAAATTTCGCACAAAATAACTAGTTTCAGTTGTCTGCAAATTTATGATAAAGCTCATACATTACTTTTCTTCCAACAATACAGTCGCTGTTGTCAACCACAGCCTTTGGACTGGCAGCTAAGTACTTTGCATTGTATGAGGAGGAAGGTGTGGGTGTCCAGTGGAGCAACATCCATCTGAGCCCGGTAGAGCAGGATGAATTCAACCTCCTTAAGGTGATCATCATGATGGTAATCGATGCCTTCCTGTACCTGATTCTCACCTGGTATATTGAGGCGGTACATCCAGGTAAGTCCTTTGATATAGGCCTAACATGATGATATGATAACATAAAACACATGCAATTTATAGAAAGTTTGATAATGATAACAATGGAGACAGCAGCAGTGTTGACTTGACTCTAATCCATAAATGAGATTTTGTCTATGAAGAGTATTTTGAGTATATGTTTGTTTTGTGAAGGGATTGCCTCTTAGAAAAGCTACCAGGCATATTTGGCCCTTATGCCTAAATAATGCCTAAAATAGTGAATTATATATTTAAATAAATAATCACCTATTCAATTTGATCTTGGCAAATGCATTAAGGTTATCTACTTTATAAACTTTCTTACATAAATCATTTATATTTATTATTCATATTTAATTCCATCAATGTTAATTAATAATTAGCATTGTTGGAATTTGATATAATTTGGCAAAGCATTAAACATACACAAAATGTTTTGCTTTATAACCTCTTTTAAATTTGTTCCTAATAACTACTTTTAATTCATAATCAACAGGTTCATACGGCTTGCCCAGGCCATTCTACTTTCCCCTGCAGTGGTCCTACTGGTTCGGTAACTCGTCTAGCTCTTGTTGCCCAGGCTCTCAGGGAAAATACAGCAACATGTCACTGATGGACGATGACCAATCATTTGCCATGGCAGAAGCTGGACAAGGTTGGAATAATATTTTCAGTGTTTTTGGATCTGGATTTTATATCTGTTTCATGGCTTGAAATTTAAAGTTGAATGAATAAATAAAATAAACCTTGCTGTTTTGATTGGAAGCCTACAACTCCACTGTTGTACCACATGTGCAAATTGCTTATTTTCAAGAAGAAAAAAAAATCTGTTTATGTTGACTATACTGATCTTTTGATGTAAAATAGTTATTAATAGGATCAGATTTAAATTTTTTGTTCCTCTTTAACCCATATAGTTTCTAAATACACTGGCTATGAACATATGAATAAAATTAAAAACACACCATAATGTTATATAATATAGCAAGAATTTTATTTTGTTATGAAGAGCATTTATAATAGCACTCACTTATCAACAAGAATCGACCCTTAACACATATAAGCATAAAAGGAGTAATTTTAATCTTATTTTTTTTCTCCTCTGTAGGCCCTCATATGGAACCAGAGCCATACCACTTGAACATGGGTGTGTCAATCAAGGGGCTTACCAAAGTGTACAAGACAGGCAAGAAGCTAGCAGTCAACAACCTTAGTTTGAACCTGTACGAAGGTCAAATAACCTCATTCTTGGGACATAATGGGGCTGGCAAAACCACCACGATGTAAGTTCAAGAGCTGTATTGCTATGTCATTGTTCAACACAATAAATCTTTGGAGTGTAATATTTGGTATATTTCTAATAATAATTTTTATTTTATTCGTGTATTTAGCACCATTTTCAATTGCATTTGTTATAATTAAATAAATTAATTGATATGACAATGTTTGTTCTCTTGTATAGTAGCATTTGTCTCTATGTGCTTCAATATTATATTTGTTGTTTTTCTTTATTGTATCATATATTCTATTTATTTTTATATAGGTCCATTCTGACTGGCTTATTCCCACCTACTAATGGGACAGCGACCATATATGGCAATGATATCCGCTCGGACATGCTGGTGATTAGGAAGAGTCTTGGAATGTGTCCCCAGCATAACGCACTCTTTGACAAGTCAGTCTTCTACCTTTAAAAGCATTCAAAAATTTGTTTAGTCATTAAAGAAGATAAAGTTAAAAATGTATTTAAGTACTTGTAGATTTTTCTGTACCTGTTCTATTGAGGTGGAACCCGTTTGCTGGTGGTTAAGAGGCCATGCCATTCAATCTAGAGGTCCTGTGTACTAATCCTAGATTTAAAAACAATCAGAATTCTAAAGACTAAAGAACAACTAGACTGACAAAAAAATAATAATGTTTTTTTCCTTTTACTGGTTAACAGGTACAGTAACAACCTACTCTTGCCCCACAGGCCCTAGATATGCTTTATAAACTAAAGCCGGGAAAAACAGCTTCGTACGACGGTCGTACGACCTTCGGTCGATGGATCCAACCCTGCTCCCTGCATTTGACGATGCAACGCCGTCTGTTAATTGTCGTTGACAGTCTGAACGGACCATCATTAAAAACGATCTGTTGCGTGCACGTCATGGCATTGCGTTCTCTATAGAATCGTGACAGTTGATGACTGTCGGACACGCATTGAGTACCTGGTGACTCATGATGTTGCTTCGGGAGTGGAGTTGTTTTTAGTCATGTGGAAAAAATCCTGCTATTAGGATTTTAACCGGGAACCCTCGGATTTGAAGCAAGCTAGTCAACTCCTCTCCATCAAGCCTCATAATGTGAATTACTTTAGAATTAAAATTAGTTCTGAATTTAATTAATGATTTTGAATTTAGAATTTCATCTTGTAATTGGCAAGTTATTGATGTTGGATGTGGAAGAAATGTAGAACAAAGCAAAGTACATTAATTTTAAATGAATGTGGACGAGAGGTATACTAAATAATGATCTACCTTTTTGAAAACATTTTTTCTCTTTTTTTTTCAGATTAACTGTTGAAGAGCATGTTTGGTTTTATGCAAGACTGAAGGGTACACCAAGCAGCTGTATCAAGAAGGAGATGGACAAGTAAGATTTCTTGACTAATGGTGACTGGTTTGCCTATCAGGTGCATTTTTTGGCACTCTGAAGGTTGTGATTCCAATCCAATGCTGGTCATTTGCTCATGTCTTTGATTGGGAATTTTTATGTAGTACATTGTTTCCAGCAATCCAGAAGTCTTAATGAGTATTTAAAAAGAAGTGAAAGTTCAGTGGAATGTTAATTGTTTGCGTAACTGACCTGGCTTGAGCTCATGCTAGGCATGAAACATTCCTCACACCATGTGACTCAAGCTGGATTGTCTGCCAGGTTTAAGCCACTCAAATTGACTCCTCACTCGATAATGTTTTTTAGCTGTGACCTTCAGCAGTGTTCAACCACCTAATAATATAATATTGCCAGTGTCATTTATGGAGAGAGCTTGAACTTTTTGAAAACCATACGACTACTCGCTTAACTGCTATGCTAACCCCATTATTCTTAAAACGAACTTTAGTCGTAGTTTGAGCTAAAACTTCAAAAATCACGTCATTTCGTATGTTCGTATGTTTATATGTTTAAAATGTACTTTTTGTAACTTACAATAAAGTGAATTGAATATAAACGATTATATAAATAGGTCTGATGTATCTCCAGTATGTGTTCAAGAAAAGGGCCATTACGTTTAGCTTCCAAAAGGCGAAATTAACATGTTTTGCTGGCCACATGCAACGGTTCCTGATTTGCACAAAATCCCCTCGCGTTGCTGTCACATAGCTTCACCCTTGCTCGACCTCCAATATAATAGTTCTCCAAAGAAAGCAAATTTCCAGTGACAAATCATATTCTATATTGTTAAATGTTAACGACTAATATAGTTATTATTATAGAATATTAGTTAGACGAATAATGGTCTATTATGAATTATGAGGAAATATGTTTTTGAAAGACAGACGGCAGATTAATATTCATTCGCGTAATACCAGATCTTTAAAATTTCGTCTGCTATTAAAATTAGCTCTTTTCAATGGTTGGTTTGATAGTTGTTGCTTGCCAGGTGTCTTCAGCTTTATTTAGTCGTATTTAGAACTTTGACTACATTGATTGTGAATACAACTTGAAGTTGAAGTTGCAACTAAGACTAAGTGAAGTTCGACTAAAGTTCGTTTTAAGAATATGGGTGTTAGAGTTAAGTAGTTTTTGTATGTCCAGTAATTAAAACAATGTTTTTCTGGATTTCTGTTACTTGTCCACTGAGATATGTTTATGCTGAGTGTGAGACCATACCAGGTCACGCCTGACATTATTTGCGATTATTTCATGCCACTTACTGTAGTCACTGCTACCTGATATGGTGGCACTTAACCTGTTTTCAAAAGTTCTGCTACCTACTACCACATTGTCATCTCTGTGTTTACTGCAAGTTTTTTGCTACTCAGCTTTTTGCTACCAGACATGTTCTTCATTTACAATATTTTGAAATGTTTCTTGGTAGACTAAAATTGTTAATGCAGAATGAATGTTTATGAATACAATTTATATTTCTTTCCAAGTTACATTTATATCCTTATTGTTTTCATATTGTTTAACAGAGTGATCGGTGATATTGGATTGATGAAGAAGCGTAAACAGAAGGTTAAAGGGTTGTCTGGTGGAATGAAGAGAAAGTTGTCAGTTGCAATTGCATTTGTCGGTGGATCTCGCACAATTATTCTTGACGAACCAACTTCAGGAGTTGACCCTTATGCTAGGCGAGCTATCTGGGAGCTCCTACTGAAGTACAAAAGTGGTGAGTGTGTTGTTTTTTTATAAAACAAAACAAAATCAATAAACATAGTTGAAATCCAGCCTAAGTTTGGCTAAGAATTTGACCTGACATTATATAATTTGCCCGCATATGTGAGTGCATTATTATTTAGTAGGCAACATTCACTAACATTACAGACATACAGGGTGACTATTAAACATGCCAATGCTATATTAAAAGAAAAAAAAAAACAACGAATTAAAAGAGAATACCATTGATTTAAACATACTTGCATAACTTCTAAATCATTTTTAGGTCGAACAATTCTTCTCTCAACGCATCATATGGATGAGGCAGATCTGCTCGGAGACCGTATCGCAATCATATCTCACGGGCAGTTAAAGTGCTGCGGCAGTTCACTGTTCTTGAAGGCCACTTTTGGTGATGGGTATCGACTGACACTCGTCAAAAGACGTTCTGAAACTGACTCATCTAACGGGAGCATAAGTAGTGGTAATATATATTTAATTTAATTTAATAGTGTACATTCAGTTTCCCTTCTCTTTTTGTGTAATATAGCCGGCAATTTTGTGAAACTCTAAAAGTAATAAACTTCAGCAGTTATGTTGTAATAGAATTTGTAATTTTAATTTATTAGCCCGATTTTCTCTTCCAGTTAGATAATTTGTTCATGGGATTTGGTTGGAAAATCCACAGACTAAGTACAGTATTGTGGTACTATAACGTAGAATCTTAAATTGGTATTTTCACCAATTTTGACCATTTGAGCCCTTGAAAAATCACCACATTCTATTTTAGTGTCCACAGTGACAGACTTGTATTTTTTAATTACTGTACTAAATAGTTTAATTTTATGAACAATGCTTATTTAAGCCTTTGTGTATTATATCATTATTAATATTAAGTTAGGATAAAAGAAACTCAACTCAGGCAGCTGTGCTGTGCTGTGTGTTGATTGTGTAAGTCTTCTTAAAGTGTTGTATTATATTTAATGTTCCACAGAGATGTCAAAAACTGTACACTTAGAAGCAATAAAGTGTACAAATAAAGCTTTGTATATTAAATTTTCATCAATATCTTTTTAGCTCTAAAGATCAGTTGTGATAATATAAAATGTTCTTTTATTTTAAAAAGTTGTGTTTAACTTGTGTTTCTTTTTCTCAGACTCTGCATTGAGTGATTCTTTAAATGCATCAAAAACATCTGCATCATTCCATTCCAATGCCTCAGAGGCTACCGTCACCTCATTCATTAAGACCTACATCAGGAATGCCGAGCTGACATCAGAAACCATCCAAGAGCTCTCCTACATCCTGCCATCTGATGCTCAGAACAAGGGCATGTTTGAGAAGTTCTTCAATGCTCTTGAAGAAAATATGAGCAACCTAGAGATCACTAGTTATGGACTGGCGGACACATCTCTAGAGGATGTGTTCCTGAAGGTGTCAGAGAAGACAGGAGCTAACAGCGCAAGTAAGTTATCTTCAATATTTTTTGAAAAGAGGAAGCTAACGGCTGTCAACTTTAAATCTTACTGAATTTGTAATAATTTGCCATTCTTATAGATACCAATGTCAATGCCAGACTCCAGTTTTTGTATGTTGCAGAAGTGATTGTTTTTTAAGACACAAAAGTATTTGAGGAAAAAGGGATGTGAGCTTGCTGTTTCAAAGTTAAGATGAATGTAACTGAATTAAAATAAGTGAATAAAAGAAACATGTTAAGTAAAAGTATATAAAGAAATAAAAGAAAGCAAGCTCACAATCATTCATAGCTTTTGAATATTATATCTTATTTTAAATAAAGTACATTTTTACAAGAATCAAAATAAGAAAAATAGTTAATTTATTTTAGCAGTTTTATGAGTCATTTTGTAGTAAAGAATAGTAAAACTATTATTATGGATAAGAACAATGTAAAATATATCCTTTTTTTAAAAATTTACCTTTTATCTTCGCTTGTTTTCAGCCATGAAAGATGATAAGAAGTCATCCAACTCCTGGTTTGGATGTCTTACAAATAGCAGCTGCCGTCCATCTGAAATGGAATTGCAAGATGTGAACGAAGAACCAAGCACGTCATCTGGATCAAGCTTAAATGATGATGATGATGTACCTCTCCTTGAAACAGAGGAAACACCTCCCATAGGTTATAATACATGTTATGTTAATGATAAGCATTAGACCGAATTAGTCACCAAAGATGACGTCATCACATTCAGCTTAAATACTGTCACCAAGTCATTTTGTTGCAATTTCTGTATGAACTATTTAAACTATTGGACAAACTTAAATTGCTGAATTGTAGAATAAGATGTTTCTTTTGACTACGATGGCCAATGAGTCAGAAGAACGTTGTTGGCATACCTCTGTAGTCTAGGGCTTGGTTCATGTTCACGCGACGAGGCTATGAAAACACGTTCAAGTTTTTCATCTGTTTATTTCACTCCATTTCAGATCTAATGGGTCAAAAGTCTGACATTTATTAAAGAAATATTTACCAAGGCTTTTCAATGAGTTACATTATGATAAAATTTACAGATAAAGAAGTTTATGGAGTTTAAATACTGTCAAAATTTACTTGAGTGTAGGCTTATTACTGTATTAAAAAACTGCCACAGCGGTTTGTTTTGATATTATACTCACTATAACAGCTTTGGTTTGGTCACTAATTCTGTCTATTGTAATTAGTAGCAATATTAATAATACTAATTAAGAGATATGGAGATCAAAATATGGTTAGGTGAGATCTACGAGATCCGTGTCTCGCATGACAGTCAACCATTCAATCAAATTTCACACTATTTAATAATATTTTTATTTTTGACCTCTGTTGTCAGTGTAGTATGATCTACAGTATTTTATTTCTTCATTACCCTGATGGACGGATCAGTGGCTTTAATGGCACATAGTTCTCAATTAGGACCCAGTGTTCTGCATGGCCATGTTTTTATTGGTCAAACTATTTTACTGTTTTGATGCATCAACTCTCAGGTAATTGACCTTCGGACTCTGTGTTGCTATAGTAAATCTTCTGTATGTTTATTATTGGCTGAACTAAATGTTTTTGATTTAGTTCAGCCAATAATAAATCTATGTTTATTATTGGCTGAACTAAATCAGAAAACATTAACAGTATTTTCTTTACTTTCAGAAGTGGAGAGCGGTGAAGGTTTGGACATCAGCACTACTTACGTGACCGGATTTTTTCTGTACACAAGTCAATTCTATGCACTTTTTGTCAAACGTCTTCATCACATCAAACGCAACCGCAAAGGACTATTCTCCCAACTATTGCTTCCAGTCTTCTTTATCTGTGTTGCTATGACGGTGGCACTTGCTGCCCCTCTGATGGGTGATCTCCCGCCTCTTATACTCACCCCTTCTCAATACCACCCTTTAACAAACCCAAGAGGGAATTTCATTCCTCATACGAACGAAGCACTGAACCCACGCCAACATGCTAAAATATATCACTCAATATATGGCGATGCAACGCCTGAACAACTTACTGAAACCTTGAAGATGCCTAGCGGTGTGGGTGCGACATGTGTCGTGAAGACACCATTCAACAGTACTCTTGATGTGCAGTTAAAAGAGTTGAATTACTCGTCCAGTATTAAACTCACGGATAAGTACTACGATTCAATGTGTAGACAGTCTTTCAAGAAAGGTCACATGCTAAAAAACTACGTCCCAGAACCACCAAAACCAGTGACCAAGTATTCGCCCATAGCACCTGGTAAGACTTCTTTGTGTTGATAAGCTTTATTCAAGACTGTCTATGCTATTGCTCTTTTTCCATAGGACTGTCATCCTTTATGAGACTTAAGGTAGGCATAACACAATACATTACAAGCTGTTATGTTTATTTTGAGTCATTCTTGGTTATCATGCATTTTTTTGTTGATCCCATTGTCTGAAGTTTCTCTAAACACATCTTGTTATAGATTTATACTGTAGATTTGAGAATAATCTTATATGAGTGTATAGCATGAACATGGCTTGAACCAATCCACCAGGCCAATGAATGCTTCTGGCCGTCACAGTCACATGCATGATATCACTTTTATATTTAGAATAGTATCAATATAGTGAACTAAATTGTTTAAAAACAGCAATATCAAATTGAAAGCCTTCTAAATGCTTTTATGGTGAAATTTTGGATATTAATTTCAGGCCAAACTCTCACAAAAAATTTGAAGTCAAAACATTTTCTTAAAAAAAAAAAAAAAAATAACATCAAAGTTAGAAACAATAATAATTTAACCAGTACTTTTTGCAGCTGTGATAATTTTTCCCACTAGAATTTGTAAAATTATGTCTGCTGACCTAGTCATAAAAATAATGATTCGTGTCTTCAGGGCAGCAGACCAATTTTGGATAAATACAACCAAATAACCAACAGTACAATCACTTTTATCAATGTGTATTGCTGGAGTTAAACATCATCCCATTTTTTTTTACTGAAATGGTGTTATCCTTTCTTTTTGTCTCATCTTCGTTTCGTTTATACTAATTACTTTAGAACAATGGAACGAGAATGGTACATCCAGTAAGTACAAATGTTAAGATTCTCTTTTCAGAGTAAAACATAGTAAAGTGTTAATTTGCAGCAGTCATGCCTCATCTTTATAATTCTTCTAACATTTCGAATAAAAGCCTGATGTACAAGCATGTTGTTAGATACAAACAAACAGAATCTTCTTTTAAGTTGATATATGACAGCAAATGTGAGATGTAATGTGAATATTTGAGAGCTTTCGTTATCTTGTTTGACAACCACCCCCACCGAGAAAAGTGCATATATTTGTATATGATGTCACCAGTTTTCTCACACTCAAAACCCAAGATTTAGCTGCTGGATCCTGGGCAATAAATCGAGAAAAAGAAACTGATTGTATTTGCAACATTTCAATGGGATTTGGTTTTACTCTATATTAAATGATTTTAATACTACCTTGAGAAAATCATAGTTAACATGTTGACTGCCAGACCTTTATTTAAGGTTCCTTCCCGTATGCCTAAACAAGTTTACATGTAAAAAACATACTTTTTTGAAATTTTATCTAGTCACATATCATCAAAATTATGTGTCTAATAAATTGGTGGGAAAATATTAGGGGGCGAGTATACTTGTCGACGGCACTGTGATAGAACGTTTTATTGACTATGCCAAGTGCGAGTTATCTCGTCCGCTTTTTGCGTGGGTGTGTATATGTTCAAAGGGCGCCCCCACTTGTGCTGCTCAAATGTACTACCAGCAACATAACACAACAGACATACGTCATATGTACGTTATCGTCTAGGTGTATATTCCCCGAACTACCAGCCGTCCAGTTTGTTGTTCTACAATGTACACTATAACAAAAAAGTTATAAACGCTAGAATTTTAGCGTTAACTCGATTTTGACGAGTATACTCGTCCCTGGCGCCCTTGGCAACACCCTGTGTGCAAGTACACAGTCACTGGCAGCCAACATGTTAATACTAATTGCAATTCACACTTTCACATAATCAATGTATTTTGTCCTAGACCAGGCCCTAGCCATACTGTACCTTTACATCAGCCATTGTAACACCACGGCCCATGCGTGTGCCATTGCAGTAGGCTGTGCTACCACCAAGAGTTCGATTCAGGAGGAACAGAAAATAGGATAGTCAAAGCTTTTTTTTTTTTTTTTTTTTTTAATGAGAACTGAAATGGGAACTAGAAGTTTTCTCAGTGAATTGGTTCTTTGAACAAGATAACAAAAGCTCTCTAATAAATAATCACTTTTTTTTTAATGCAAGGTATGATGTAAAAGTTTTTTTTTTCTACATGGCTTAGGTTTTATGGAAGAATGGTTGATTTTGTTTTCATATTCTTCTTATTCTACTCTTTATTTTTTTCAAGTGTTTTGAGCATTTCGTTAAAATGGAAATGAGCACTATACAACTCATATTTTTATTATTTGTTGTTCACTTTATGTATCTACATAACAACTATATATATGTCCATTGCTTTTACAATAGATGGCATAGAAAATGGCTTTTAATTTGAAATTTAAAAAGACTGATTTGAATGCAGTTATGCTAGCATGTGCATATAGATTACATTTTCATTTTGATATTCTTGACAATTATTAGGGAATATGTTTTGCCAGACAGTTTTTATTTTCTCTTGCCTCTTTATCTCGGTTTTAGAAATTGTTTATTTTCTGGTAATGGTAATTGTATTGTTAATGCATAGAAGCACAAATTACTGCAAGATTTTTTTCAATGTCATTGTCTGCCTAAATGCCCTGTCAATGTAGCGAATAAAGCTATGTGTGTCTCCGACATTTTTGGTAATTTGTTTGTACGTTCTCGTAAGTTGCAATTTGTTCATGATATGATTTACATATGTTATATTAGCTTGAGTTACGCTGAGGTTGATTTTAAATTTTGGATACGTTTTGAGTGCGTAACAAATTACGCTAATATATGTTGAGTATACGCTGTTTGAACGTTTTGCATGTTGGATGTATTCTTCTTGTCTTTTGTTAATCCAGATACATCCAACCCATCTGGAACTTTGCCAGGCGAATGCACAATGTATACATAGTTTAACACATTCATTGGCGGTTTGTAGTAGTATGCAGAGGTGGGGTTGATTTTTAATATTTGAGTGTATCTGTGACAGGGCCTTACCTGCCAATTTGCTAATAATAAAAACATCCCTTTATTGTAATTTGTAACTTTTAATTGTATGTTAAGGATGGAAAATGCAAATTGTGATCATGTTGGATGGATTTTAATTTTCAAAATAATAGAAAGAAGCTAAATAATTCAGCTATTGTTTAACATCAGTAGAGCTGCTATCGTCAAGTTATGCTATGAAAGGCTTCTTTTGTTATGCAACAATATACTGAGTGATATTGTGTAATAGTGAGCCCTTACAACTCAATTGTGAGTGATATTATGCTACATTGAGTTACAGTAATTTTCTTTATGAGCTCTCTTGCGCTGAAAGGTCCACTGATTAATTTCAGATAGGAAAGTGTAATACATACTCCAAGTATTGAAATACATGCCATTGTGTTGGGATTCAATATTTCGACATTTATTATGTCATCATCAGGACATGACATGATGATGACATAATTAATGTCGAAATGAAAATTGAATCCCAACACGTTAGCGTGTTTTTCAATGCTTGGAGTATGTATTATACTTTCTCTTGTGCCATTTTTCAAAGTAACAAACCCTTTTGTGTTTCCTACTAACCTATGATTAGATGTTTATGTGTCAGATGTAGAGACTAAAAATATGCAAGATAGTAAAATCAAATTCAAATACAATCCCTACTTGATTAATTTTAGTCCATGTCTTTCCTTGCCCCACTGCTAACCCTTTCTTGGTGTAGATATATTCAATATGCACCTGACATCATTCTAAATAATAACAGTAAAATAGGCACAACTAATTCATTTTTTTGTTTTTCACCAGAGGTAAACTTGTAGGTAGAGATGTTTACTATTTTGGGCTTGGTCTCCAGGACTTTGTGTTGTCAAGGTTATTTAATAATTCCATGTGATGTGTTACAAAGATTCCTGTTACACTCCTGGTCGCTGTTTGATAAAATCCTCAATGTTAATATTTTTTATTTGTATAATTAATTTTTAAATATTAATTGTCATACTATTGCATGGTTTTCATTCTGTTTATGGACCTAAAGTTACATAATATAATATACCCTTAATTTGTATTTTTATCATAATGTTTTTTATCTGTTCTGTTTCACAATTAAAAACATGGTAATTCTAGTCATGTGGTAATTCAGACTGTACAAATCTACACATCATCTCATCTGAGGTGCCAGATGAAATCAGCCTGGTTTCTAATAAAAATGTATTATATATCATTAATTAATTTCCTGTTCTAAAAAAAAAACCTTACAACAGCCTCACATGTTTAGTGTTTTATAGTAAGTAGGGAGATTAATATTTATAAAATATTCTTCAATCTGTTTATTATTACCCTGTGTTTATTCCATGTTCTGGTTTGATATGATGTGACCTTTAACCCATAGGAGGTGCTGTGCGAGAGATTACATGTAGGTGCTCTGATGATAACACTGGATTCTCTTGTCCGGTTGAAGTAGGTAGCCCTTACCCTGAAGTCATGAAAGTGATCACAAGTGATCGTATGTTGAACGTTGACAGGCGGAATATCACACGGTACATACTCTACACTACAGACAAATATAGGTTGCACAGGTAAGCAGAAAATGTTGTAGGTATCATCTTTGTTAAGGGCTTTGGGCTATACTGCCGTGATTTGGAAAAAGGCATTAACTCCACTTTTTTTTGGTTCTAGGGCATCCTATAGATGTAATCTATCATGTGAATTGATCATATACCCCAAAAAAATGTCCAGAAATATGAAATAAACATAATATTTATGCATTATCTCCAGTACAAAAGGCTAATGACAAATGCGTTTTGCTCAGTATCTCAAAAACTTGGATTTTGGAGATAACTGCCTTTTTCCAAATCATGGCAATATTCCTGTCATAAGGTGAAATATAAAAGCAAAATATTACCACCTCTATTAAGTGGACACCTTTTGGACTGAAAAAAGTGCCCACTTTAATAGGGGTTTGCTATAGTGTTATAAGATACATTTCCCTCACTTCATGGCCAAAAAAGTGTCCCTGTAATAGGGGTGTCCCCTTAATAGGGATGTCCCAAAGGAGGGGGTTCTACTGTGTAATTATCATTGTATATATTATCTGGGGGAAAAGAGTACTTTGTAACCATAAATCAAGGAATTACTATGTAATAATTACCACTGGTTTGTACAATAGTTTTACTCCTAAGATACCCAAAAACGCTTGTATAAACACTGTCCAACCAATAATGCAATACAAGTTTTAGTAGTATAGGCTAGTGCTTTAATGAGCCTAAATGTGATCAACATACAAGCACCACACTATTTGGAAAACAGTAAATAAAAAATACTTACCCAATCCATTCGTAATCAGTTTCATTAAAGTGAAGATTACAATTCAAGGATGAATTCTGACAATGAATTTACTCATTAACTCCTCTATTTTGTATGAATAGAATGCCATCTATAATTGGCTATGAACTACAATTTATCGCAAGGTTAAACTGTATATCAATGAATATCATATATACATTAACTTTGAAGAGTACAACATAGGGTTGAAGGTTGTATTTAGACTAATTGTGTGCCTATAAGCCTAGGTCTTGCTAATAGCCATGATAACCACCCAAGGTAACAGCCTACATGATATTGTTATATTAGTAGTTGGCCTAAATACATCCATATTAAGTCTACAGATGTTACATAGATTACAACATTGCTACCACTGGAAAGCTGTTGCATTTCTGATCTTCAGGTTTCAAGTTAAAGGTTTTGGATTCAATGTCGAATTTATGAAATCTGTAGGGCTTTCTTCATAAAGGCTTATACGAATGGATGTCTTGTTTTGGAGTAGGAAATCGAGTTATTCCTCCTCATTACCGCCTGATTATAAATCGATGGGAAATCAACCGAGAGAAACAAAACAAAAAGTAGAGAGCTCTATTTTTGAAAATGACTACCGTTACAGTTTGTGTAATGTTTATATACATTGAGAATTAAAAAATTGCACTTATAAAAAACTATACCCTATTCACATAGGTTTTACATTTCTCTTTTTTGTGATAGATATGGTGCATTTTCTGTTGGTAATGTTCGTGAATACGTGCCAAAGATGTATCAGGATATGTCAGCACCAGAGTACCGTAAGATTGCCGTCAGAAATGCAGCTATGGTAAGCAAGCAGCTAGCAATTGGTACCTGGTTTTTACATATGTGGCAAAGACAAGCCAAACCAGTCACTCGTCGGAAAAATCAATTTTTAGTTATTAATATTAAAATTTAACAGTAAAATGGGAGCTATAAAATGGTAAAAGAATCATTTAAATCCGACACTTCGTTATGAAGTTACATAAGTTTAAACATACTGCTGTTTAAAGAACAATATTTGAGAAATCAGCCTTCAAAGTTTACGATTTCAGGCATTAATTAGGCAGAAACCATCACCAAATCGTTAAAAATTGTTGTTTTAACATTGAAAATGAGGAAAATAAGAGCATAGCATGATGTATAGATATATAAAGGTTAGTTTAGTGCAATAAAATAGATTTCCCAAATTTTGAAATTCCAGCATGTTTTGGCCATTATCTCCAAAACCTTATTTGCGACGAGTGAGTGGTTTGGCTTGTCTTTGCCACATATGCTAACTTCATTGTTGTGACATCAGAGTCAGTAATACTATTTTTAATAATATTTTAATCCCCTGACACGACAGTTGAGAGTCTGATTCCATTCCGTACTTATGGTTTTAAAGACTTTGGGTTGTGTAATTTTTAAGCAGAAACCATAAGCCCACAAAAATAAATGTTTCACTATAGAATAATTAGCTCACTCGTGTATGGCTTATTATATGTAATTGGTTTTCTTTTGTGCTTTTCTTGGTTCCATAATTTCTACGTACATAAATCAAATTTCTTGTGGTGGAGCATCATGAGCGTTTTCTTTTAAACAAATACCGACACTATATATGTATTTTTAATATTGTATTATTACATATTTCTAGGCATCCAGGCCTCTGTTGTCAACTCATTGTTTTTCAAGCTCTTAATTAATGCTGTCAATGCTACTGTAGCTTAGAGTTTTTATTTATAGACCTAGGATCTCTATTGGTGAGGTCTAAGCACATATTGCTAGGCCTCCAAGCTTATCATGCTGTCAGATTTTGTGTGCAATTATTTTTTATAATAATAATGAAATAATTATATGATATTAATCAGTCAATCAATCAATCAGTCAATAATTGTAGAAAAATAGATAATGTATAATATATATCTGTTTCCCAACCTGTTAACCATTCCTTTTACTTAATGTTGATTTTGTTTTCACCCTCTCTATTATTTATTATTATTTTCATTTTATCCACAGGCCTTCCATAACCACAAAGGTTTCCATAGCATGCCAACATATATCAACGTAATTAACAACCTTATACTGCGTGCAAACCTTGATCCTGATATTCATGGCAACCCGGCAGGATATGGCATCACCGCCATCAACCATCCGATGAACAAAACCAGCTACAATATTGAGAATGACTACATGTAAGCACAACCAAACGGCGAGTATCTACAGAGATGCATGGGTGGACCATGTCCTTCACCCAGAAAGCTCTCTCCCCCTGTGTCCCCTTACTGGAAATTTTCAAAGTAGTTAATAATCACCTCATATCACTTTATCTTACCAACTCCCACCCTCCTTGCTTAATCATGGAGCCCTCCCATTTCACCTGGTCTCCCCCATCATCAGCCCCCTTTCAATACTCCTAGAGACGCAAGCAATCAGCATAGCTTTTTTGATTTGCTTTAATATCAATCGATTTTAAATAATTTTAAAAAATGTGCTCCCAGCAGTATCTGTCTACTGAGAACTAAAGTTCAAGTTTTGGTGAATTACTGCACAGTCTTTCATTATCCATAACTTCTTTACCAGCCAATTTAAAAATAAGATACACTTTATCGAATTAATTAAAACATATTAACATGAAATTATTGGTTCAATGTAAAGAATATATTTACGTGCATCATTTTTTTTGGTTTAATAAATATTCTTCAGTTTGATATAGGTTTCTTATTCATGAATATTTGCTCTTGTTTTTGGCAGTGTTCAAGAGGGTACGAATATGGTCATCTCAATCTTCATCATTGTCGCAATGTCATTTGTACCCGCCAGTTTTGTTGTGTTCCTCGTTGCTGAGCGGTCTTCCAAGGCTAAACATCTGCAGTTCATTAGTAGTGTAAACCCAGCTGTCTACTGGTTGTGCAATTTCTTGTGGGATATGGTTAGTATAGAGCATTATGTATAACACTGCAGTTGTTAACATAAACGCCGGACACTTTGACATAATTTGAGACATGTACATATATATATATATATACTTGTATATAGAAAGTTCAATATGCTTTTCTGTCTTTCATTGACAGATATCAAATTCTATTTTTAGTGTCCATATCTCACTACCTATTTCCTCCATGCACCATTTCCTCAGTTCCAACAATTCATTTGTTTTTTTTTCTTCCATCTAATGTCCACATTCTCCTACAATCCATTTTCAACTCTAAATTTCAGATGAACTACATGGTACCAGCAAGTTGTTGTATCCTCATTTTAAAGCTTTTCAACATTCCAGCATACGCATCACCCACAAACCTGCCAGCTGTTATCATTCTCTTCCTTTTATATGGGTGAGTCAATTGGCAGTCATTATATATAAGCTCCTACTCATTCCTGCATATTCATTAAACATGAATTATGATATCCAGAGGTCACGGATTGTACTAGGGGTGCATTATGGAGAGTAATGTGCGACTGGAAATGGTCTGCCAGTTGGTTGTTACCATGCGCCGGTGATGTTGGAGTACAGCAAGATGAAACTATTTATGTAATGCATACATTGTCGGGTAATAAAAGGGTTATTGTACATTTAAAGTTCTCCCTCCATGCATAAGTGTAAGCTAAATTACGGTGATTAATTAGCGAAGGTATGGAAACAATTATTTCGAAGTTCCCTCTTTCCAAGAGGCGATGCAAATGCTTTGTGAAAACTAGTACACCGCGGTACTCATTTTCACAAAGGAATACACGCAGCTGGTTAGCTAACAATGTGAAGAGCCATTTGCATTAGAGCTTTGGTATTGTAGGCGGTTGTGAGGGTTCCAATAGAATATTGGTTAAAATGATGTAAGATTCCCTTAAGTTTTAATACAGAAAATAAAAAAATGTCCTTTTTTATTTTGATTGCATCACCCTAGATACAGGCCTGTTTCTATCCCATGTGATCTTCCTGGATGCAGCCAGTGTTAAGGCTCAAACTGGCATATCTAGGAGTCTTGAAATGGGGGTGCTGATTGGTGGCACAATGGTAAAGTGGGGGAGGGGGTTTGATGATCAGTTCGAGGGGCGCTAAATTACAAAATATGGTGATTTTAAGGATTTTAACTACTTGACCGTGATTTTTACACAGCAAACAAGCCAGAATCAGTCAAGATAACAAATTAATGTATGAGGGCAGGCTATGCAGCTAATGAGCTGAGCTTTGATGGTTACATTTTGCAATTTTCTTCTAATGCAATTTACATTTTCTTATTGTCAGGTATTCCATTACACCTATGATGTATCCTGCATCATTTTACTTCAATGAATCCAGTGCTGCATACGTCTTCCTTATCATCATCAATCTTTTCACCGGTATCACCACGGTTATAGCTAGCTTCATGCTGGAGCTCTTCAACTATGATGAGGTATATGTTATGGTGTATTTATTAACTATAGAAACGGGTGACGCTAGGATTTGCATGACGGGGTGGGGGAGGGTCTGAGGTCTCCGACAGTGGAGCCGGAGCCCCGATGAGGGGGAAGGTTTCCCCGACAAGAGCAAGTGGGCATGTTCGAGCATTGCGAAACAGGTCCAGGGTGGCGAAGCCCCCGAAAATTTTGACAATTTAGGGGTTTCAAAGGTTTATTTAATCGATTTTAGAGTCTACTAATATGTAGAAAATAAATGCCCTAATGGAAAGAGCAAGAGAAAAAAATGTATTAATGTTTAATAGTGGAGATGAATGAATTAAACAAGTAATCAAGTGTCATCCTAGAGGGTTTTTTATTTTCTCATTGGATGTTGAAAAGATGGCAAAAACTAAGCATTGATTTTATTTTAATTTTTATTTGTAGGAGCTGAAAGAAGTTTATGAATTTTTACACAAGGCTTTCTTAATGTTCCCCAACTATTGCCTTGGCAAGGGCCTCATGGATTTGGCCTATAATGAGTTTTGGAATGAATTTTACTATAAAATAGGTAAGGTTTTTGCCTTTGTTCTTAATAAGTTACTTGATTATCATAGGGCATTTTTCTGCTGAATACTGCCAAAAACGTGCTTTTTAACATGGTTAAATCTGTTCGGAACGCGTTTCTAATGAAAAGTGCAACTAATAAAAACACTGTAATGTGAGCATTGGTAGGGGGGCGGAGCCTATAATGATGATCACCTACGGAAATGGACGTTTACCTTGCTTCTTGTGAGCTACAGCGCATGCTGTGAAAGAATTAAATTCCACGCCCATGAAGTATGGAAAAATTATATAAGCCTAAAGCATGTCATCCTGTTAGTTACATTTTTTTTCTTCTTCCTGAAATTCCTGCGAACAAACAAAAAAGTCAATTTGGAAATACCAACGGGTCATGCCTAACACGGTATTGCATTACAGCTGAAAGGTGTACTACAAAGCACATGTTTTCTGAATGCCAACCCTATAACGAATCCGTGTTAAAACACACATTTTAGAATGCATTCCTAACCATGTTTTTGTTTTTTGGCCCGTTCCTGCTGGGAAAAAAACATGTTTTTTTAATAACTGTTTAAAAACACATGTTTTTTTGCTCAGCAGAAACAGGCCCATATTTTAAGTAATCTTTACCCTTCAGAGATGGTTTTTGTCAAATAATATTTGATAGTATGGACATATTTTTACATTTTTTTTTACTAGACTGTAAATAACAAAAATCTTGCGTATTATTTTTGTTACCAGGTGAAGAAGATAAAGCTAAAATGCCATTTGAATGGGATGTGATGACACGAATGTATGTCATTATGGGTATAGAAGGCCTAGCAGCATTTATATTCACTATTTTATTAGAGTACAAGTTCTTCATCAGACCAATGTAAGTCAAATTCAGTAACATCAACATTATAATCACAAATATCTTCCATATGATCTTGTTCTTCTTCCCACCACATCCACAATATTAATAACTATGCATTCAAAAATCATCCTAATATGTCTTATTTATCATTCAGAATCTCTGTTACATTCATAATATATTTGTATTTATCCTAACTGTACATCTATTATTATAACAGTCACACAAAATCTATCATAACTAACATGTAAAAGTCACTTAAATTTTAATCATAAACCACATGCTAATTCTAATTTTGATTGCTTAAATTTCAATGACTCACAGAAGAAGACTTGGAAGGAAGCGTGATCTAGGAGAAGAAGATGAAGATGTCGCAGATGAACGCCGTCGCGTTTTGAGCGGAGAGGCAAACGATGACATTCTACGCATTGAAAATCTTACCAAAGTATGTGGATATTTAATATTTATACTTTCTGAATGGTAGGATTTTTCATACTATATCTTTAATCAACAGTGTCTATTAGCCAGTATCTAGTGGTGTATCTACGATTTTTTTAAATGGAAGGGGGGGGGGGGTTGTGGGCTGGGCTGGGCTGCAAGCTTTTTTTGCGCAACCTACATCTATGATTCAAGCTTTAGTATATGAAATAAATTCATGAAGCTTCTCCTAAGCTGCTGACAGAAAAAAATCCCTTAGGCCCCCATTTTTTAGCTGTCTCTTAAAACAGTACCCACAATGCTTATGTCTAATGAGCATTATATTTCAGACTTAATAAACAGTACCCAGGATGCTTCTGTTTGTTAAGTCTGAAATGTAATGCTTAACAGACAATACAATACATTTTATAAATGTTTGTTTATTTAATTAATAATAATAAAATGTTCAAAATAGCATTTTGTTTTCATTTAACAGGTTTTCAAATCGAGATACTTTAGTAAGCATTATGCTGTGGATAGGTTGTGTCTTGGAGTTCCCCAAGGAGAGGTAAGTGCTAGATAAAACTAATCCTAGGTCTACTTTGACAAGCAATACTGCATGAAGCCCATCATAGTATTAGATGTTATTGTTACAATAAAGCATGTTGCAGCTTCAATGCTATTAATGCATGTACTGTTTTTTTGTTTTATTCCCAAAGTGCTTTGGACTACTTGGTGTTAATGGTGCTGGAAAGACGACAACATTTAAAATGTTGACAGGCGACCAAGCGATATCCAAGGGTGATGCGTTCCTGAACGGAATCAGGTGAGTCTGCAGACATGCTTTATGAACGATGCATGCTTTGGGTATTAATACTAATGTACAAGACGTTAATTCGTGTTATAGTTGTGGTGTCATCATTGCTTTTTATCGCATTTACATGACATTCAATAACTGAAATAAATCATACAAAAAAAACAACTGTATAAACACACAAAGCTAACCTGTCAATTCTACACCAATAATCCCTGGAATGCTTACAGTATATTAAAATATTTATTCCATTAAAATATAAAAAATCATAGATTTCAATTCAATTTCTTTCATTGCTGCAAATGCTATGTAAGGCCAATATATCTGCACAAACACAATGAAACACAAAAAATAAAATACAATGGAAACTATGCATCATAGGGTAGGGACGTCACTCCAACATATTCGAATGACCCGCATACCCCATTCTAATTTTTGTTTAATAATATACAGTATATTGAAGAATCGGCTTGCTGTCTATCGCTGTATTGGTTACTGTCCACAATTAGATGCTCTCTTTGATGAGCTAACAGCAAGAGAACATTTACACTTGTATGCTCGACTGAAAGGCATTCCAAAGAAAGATGAAAATAAGGTGAAGTTAAATAAAAATTTATTTATTATGTAATTTTGAATTCAGATGTTTTGAAATTTGATTGATAGAATTTAATTATAAATATATATTTTCTTTTATCTATTTTACTAAATCTAAATAAATCTATTCCCATAAATATTTTTTTTTATGTTTTTATAAGAAATTAATTAATATTATTGTTTTATTAGTTGGTGGACTGGGCACTCAGAAAACTAGCTCTTGTGCAATATTCTAACAGGCCTGCCGGCACCTACAGTGGAGGAAATAAACGCAAACTGTCCACTGCTATAGCCCTTATAGGGCGCCCTCAAGTTATCTTCATGGTTTGTAATCATTTGATGTATATATTGAATACTAATATTAATAAAACATTAAATAATAACTATAATAATTTATGTGCTGTATGTTTGAAAAGGGTACTGATTTCATAAAATGTTTAATATTCACAGTTCTACATCATGTAATTATGTATTGCTGTAAAGTGTTTTGATTTTTAAAAATTTAAACACCAAATGTCGTGCTCAGAACCACATTATTCATCACCTCATAATTTTGTTCTACTTAACCACATATGTGCCCCATTCTAAAAAAATCATATATTTATATTTAAGATTGATTAACCTCCAATGTATTGTTTCTTATCTCCTTATTATGTGATCCTGTTTTTTTGTTGTTGTTGTGCAGGATGAGCCAACGACTGGTATGGACCCTCATTCAAGACGATTTTTATGGGATTTAATACTCAGTATGATTAAAGAAGGAAGATCTGTTGTACTCACTTCACATAGGTAGGTTTTAATTTATTCTCTGTAGTGGAATCATAATTTAGAATCAGGGGAGCATAGAGTTGTTCCAAATTAAAATATGAAACACATTTGTGATAAATGTTTGCCAATAGAATTTGAAATATTCAATATGAGCTGGGCACGTTTAACCAAAGTTATAGAAAATGCTTAATATCATTATATATTAGAGAAAGGTATCAGGTAAAGGTATAGAGAAGCAATTATCGCATAACTTGCACATTCATTGTGCCGTATTGCATAGAGTATGGTGAGTGATTATCATGGCTTTCAAAAATGAGAGACTTGATCCTTTCAAAACAACAGCGTCTGAAGTGAACTAGTACACCGTCGTAAGATGTACTTGTTCTTTAAACTGTAAAAGAGCCAGATTTTATAACTGGTCTCCAGTCTTCAGCCAAGAAGACTTGGCTCTACCCAACAACTGATTTATGATATACAGTACAGTACTGTAATATTTATATTTTGTCTTTTTTTGTAATTTCTTCTTTTTTGTTTCAAAGTATGGAGGAGTGTGAGGCACTTTGTGGCCGCCTTGCAATCCTTGTAAACGGACGTTTCAAATGTTTAGGCAGTATACAGCACCTCAAGAACAAATTTGGTGGCGGATATACTGTCAGCATCCGTGTCAAAGGTCCCCAGCCAAACACTGCTCCAGTTAAGCAGTTTTTCCTTAATGAATTCTCTGATGCAGAACTCAAGGTATGTATTTGTGAATCATAATTTTAGTCTTACTTGGTTCGCAAATTGGAGAAGCCATTTCCGAGTGATCTGTTAAATTAAATAGCAAATTTGCTTTTTTAACACATGTAACTTTATTTTCTACGCATGTTAATACCCATCGCAGGCTGATTTCCTAGAGATATTGATCAGTAAAAACCTACAAATATATTATGAATTTGTGGAAGATAGTTTTACTTCTGGGAGACATTTGCTTGTTGGCGGTAGTGTGGAATGCTGTCTAGATTTCCAGGAGACCAGATATTTTTAACCGACAGAGGGTCTGACATGTTTAAGTGGGGGGGGGGGGAGTCAAACCGAGTCAAACCGAGGGGGCAACTAGAGCCTTGGTCTGAGTCCTGGAATAAAAAATGCCTTTGTAGGGTTGAGAGGTTTTATGGCTTTAACTGTTGTCCAAATTGTGCTTTTCGACCACAACATGAGGGAATGGCAGACAAAATAACATCATTTGGATAGGCAAATTATAATTTTTAAATTTTTGATCTGACAAACTTATTGTGGCGTCAAATGGCAGGGGTCCAGGGCTGTCAAATGGGGGGAGGGGGGAAATGCTCTCCCCGTCCCCCTGCTTGCGCCACCACTGCTTGGAACCCCTGGTCTTATTTGCAGTACTGTAAGTAACAGTTTTATGGGCGGTGCTTATCTCTCCCTGAGAATTTACATTGTTGTTTGAAGTAAATAAACATAATTTTTGCTGGGTAAGCATTTTGTAGTTGCTTGTCTGAAGTAGCATGCATGCTTTATTGCACATCTGCTGGGATTTACCATAAGACAAAATGCCATCTGGACATGCCTATTGTTGTGCTGTGTGTATAATTATTCTGTGTTATTATAAATATTTTGCTACTAATTGTCAAATTGTTATTATTGGTATTTATAATTACTTTTATGTATTGTAATATTATAATATTTCTGATATTAAGATTTCTTCAGCTTTTTTAACTACCATTATTGTCATACTTGGGGTGTGTGAGGAATTGTATTAAAACACGTACAATCCTACCAAGGGATGTATTTTTCAAATATTTTATTACTCTGTATACTTTACAGTTAGTTTTTTATTCGCTGCAAACGAGCCATGTCTGTCAATGATTAAATAGGTTATGTAATACTGTATTATAATGGCTTTTTAAAAAATTATTATTAACCAAAAATGTAAGAAAAATTAAGGATGTTTTTTTTTTCTGCCTTAGGATGAGCATCATAACATGTTACAATACGGCATCATGCTCAGCAATACCTCGCTCAGTGAATTATTCTCGCGCCTCGAGAGCATGAAAGGGGTATTGCAAATAGAAGATTACTCTGTTAGTCAGACTACTCTTGATAATGTAAGTAATTCGGCATAAGTGTTTTCTCATGACTACATTTAATATTTAACAATAGTATTTTTGGTATAAAAAAAATAAAAATATTAGTAATAATTGTTCAATCATTTGTGACTTTTTTCAAAATATTAACTTGCAATGTTGTTATATTAATTTATAATAGTGATAATGCTTATGATAATACCTGACAGTAGTTTACAAAACTGTTTTAATCATCATTACCATCATCATAATAATTCTTGTAATATTAGTAATTTTATAATATTATGATATTATAATTACTAATTAGCACAGCTGATGGTCGAAGGCACCAGTTTATATATTTATATTTTGCTCCAGACAACAACTGTTGGTCTACTAAGCTTACAAATAAAATTTGGTGCTGGATTCATTTAAAAAAGAAAATTTTACGGATGCTTGAAAATAATACTTGTTAACTATGAGGCAAGGACTGCCTTTGGCAGAATACTGATGATGATTATGAACTACATACCAAATTTAATTGGAGTTTGTGGATTTTCTATTATTGTATCAATGTCAACACATTACTAAACAATAATAATGACATGTTGTTCATTGTTATCAGCATTCACATTTTCACATGTATTTACGTTTTAAAGTAGTATTCTTTTTTCCTTTGACACAGCCCGACACAATGTGTTGATGCTTTTGATCAGTGTTAGTTAAGCAGGGACGTGATTGGTCCGTGTCGGGGACAGTTGTGACATTAAATATTTCAACATGTTAAATATTCCCACGACGACCTAAAGACGCTCCCTGATGATAAATCATGCCAAGCTGTGTCATACAACACTGTATTAGTCCGCCTTTGTATTTTTTTTTGCAGGTGTTCATAAATTTTGCTAAAGAACAGATGGGACAACTTGATGATTTTGTGGATTCAAGTAAAGAACTGAATGTGGACTCTAGCTTACAATTGCAGAATCTCATGAGAGCCAGTAGTAATGGAACCCTTGATCTGGAGGATGATGATGACGAACCTCTTCTCCAGATGTTTGGTCAAAATGAAGAAGAGATAGTATGTTAGGCTTATGTTATCAATTTCACTCTGTAATTTAAATGATGAGCCTATTCTAGGCAAAGAATAAACGACAGTGTCCAAAAAGAGTAGAGCAGGGTAGTTGTTGGGACCAAAGAGTATGGATTTATTTTTGTGTGTAAAAACCCGGATAACCCATGAAAAGTCTGTGGAAGACGTATTTCCAGTGGGGTCCTTCTGGTGGAGCTAGCTCGGCCCCTCCCCTAGTTTCAGCCTAGAGTTTCTACATAATTTTTTTAAAATATTGTGATGACCAAGGATAAATAAAAGTAGCCTAAGTTAGGCCTATGTATACCATTCATAACATTATTACATTATAAAGAAAATAAAATTCCACTTACTTATATAATTCTGTAAATTTTTGAAGTAGAATTACCACTGTCTCTTATACACATCTAGATGTGTATAAGAGACAGGTGTTTAAATTATTCAAATACGTTTAGAAATAAGAGAGATATGATTAAATGTTGCATAATACTACAAGTCTAGGAAAAATACAACAATGAAAAAAGGCTTTCAAAGTTAGCGAAGCATACGATTCCCAAGTAAAGGTCGATCAAAAATCATGAAATTTTCTTGCTTCCAATGATTTTTTTGCAATGAAAATTCGGTATGTTGTATTAAAATCAATACTTTTAGAAGCTGTTTTGATTGAAAACAGAATTTCGACCATATATGAGGTGTCTATGTATTTTGCCTCATAACTCAAATATACGCCGTGCGACTTTACTCTCATTTCGTGGTGGCAGGTCTCATTTACTAAACAATAATAATGACATGTTGTTATTGTTATCAGCATTCACATTTTCGCATGTATTTACGTTTTAAAGTAGTATTCTTTTTTCCTTTGACACAGCCCGACACAATGTGTTGATGCTTTTGATCAGTGTTAGTTAAGCAGGGACGTGATTGGTCCATGTCGGGGACATTAAATATTTCAACATGTTAAATATTCTCACGACGACCTAAAGATGCTCCCTGATGATAAATCACGCCAAGCTGTGTCATACAACACTGTATTAGTCCGCCTTTGTATCTTTTTTTGCAGGTGTTCATAAATTTTGCTAAAGAACAGATGGGACAACTTGATGATTTTGTGGATTCAAGTAAAGAACTGAATGTGGACTCTAGCTTACAATTGCAGAATCTCATGAGAGCCAGTAGTAATGGAACCCTTGATCTGGAGGATGATGATGACGAACCTCTTCTCCAGATGTTTGGTCAAAATGAAGAAGAGATAGTATGTTAGGCTTATGTTATCAATTTCACTCTGTAATTTAAATGATGAGCCTATTCTAGGCAAAGAATAAACGACAGTGTCCAAAAAGAGTAGAGCAGGGTAGTTGTTGGGACCAAAGAGTATGGATTTATTTTTGTGTGTAAAAACCCGGATAACCCATGAAAAGTCTGTGGAAGACGTATTTCCAGTGGGGTCCTCCTGGTGGTGATTGGTTAGTACACTGGGAGACAATTCCCTACTCTTTTTTGAAGAGTATTTTGCATTATTTAACGTGCCCATGGGCCATAATGCACACAGGACCAACGGATTAAACGTCTCATTCGAAAGGAGAGAGCATCGATGGCCATTGAACCAAGGACCAAGAGATCTCCACGGTTCAGCGCACACTCAATGGTTACCACCAGTTTAGTCGACTGAGCTGACCTTCAATAGACTAGAATAGAAAGAGGTCTGATTCCACTGATTTTGCAAGCATCCAATAAAACGAAAACAAAATACCACCATGAGTGTAGGGGGGGGGGCGCCCTATTAAAATTCAATTAAAGTTCAAAATTTGAGCATGTGTTTGATGTGTTTTGACTTGCATTTTTTGTTATGGCGCCCTCTAGTTGATTTGATTTGAGTCATTTGATTTCAATTCATTTAGCAATCAGAGTAAAATACGTAAACAATAGATAAGGTAAAAGCAAAATACAATTGAAAACTAAGGAAGAAATACCCACAAAAAAAAGGTTTAAAAAAACATTTCCATTGGAATCTTGCAAGTGAACCATTCGTGGTAGTACATTTTGAAATAGGATTTTTGGTAGTCTGACTCTTTTGCTATTCTATGCTCTTTGCTGGCACCAATAATAACAGGTTCCACATTCTAGGGAGTTTATGCAGCAAGCAGATATAGCGCTCTTGGTAGTAACCAAAGAGAACACAATCACTGCGTCATAAGCAGTGTTTAAATTGAGTGGTAAACGGGTGGTCAAACTTTGTAAATAAAGATTACATCGATTAAGAATGATGTATAAGCTTAATTTTAACAAATACATTGTTTTTCCCCCCAGACTCCACGTTTAACTTTCAACCTCGAGGAATGAATCATAAATAAGCGATGTTTGCAGATGCTTGATGAAAGTTCACTCACCTAAGAGATTGCCTCAGTATGGGTAGACCATCCTTAATCCAGTAGTACCGTTCAGTCTTTAGTGTGGTGCTCAGCAATGCATTGATAACCTGAGTAGAGTTGGCACAGCTAAACCATGAGAACGGAGGCAAGCCAAAAAGTACTTCCAGATGTTGAAGAGAGGGTGCGATTGTTGCATGTATCATTCCAGTCCATGTTTAATGTCTTTAACATAGTAGTTTAATTGAAGTAGACTATAAATAACGTGTATCATTTAGGTTGATGGCCTTCTTTCAAGCACATTTAATTATTGTTGTCCTATAGTTTGTGCACATAAGATTAATGTGTAATGAAGAAATGCAACTAAAAAATTTACATTTTGAAAATAATTATCTCACAATCAATAGTAAACCAATCCTCACAACCACGATTAAAAACTTTTGGACAGGTTCACCATTTACTAATTGATTTTGATGATTGTACTACTAATCAGGGGCGGATCCAGAGATGTCCAAACGGGGGTGGAGGGCGTGAAAGTTGGGCTGACGAGACAACACCATCCTAGGGGGTCCAAGGGAATGCCCCTCAAAATTTTTGTGTTCTAGGTGCCCGAAAATAACATTTGAGGCGTTCTGGGCTACCATTTTTTTCTTTTTCTTTCTTTTTTTTCTTTTTTTTTCTTTTTTTAACCTGCGAAAAAGGGGGGAGGGCCGGGGCCAGGCAACCACCCCTCCTCCCCCCTAAATCCGCCCCAGATAATATTTTTAATTGCCATCAACACTAAGCAATAAAATGTTTTTTATGAATGTTTCGGTGGAAAGCAATGTCTTCCTGTGAGATTGTGCTACTAGCTACAGACACGTGTCCGTAATTGTAATTGTACGATGGTTAATTAAAATAATGCAAATATGTTAGAAGATGTCAATGTTAGAAAATGATGTTTGCACTCTTTAATTTATATAATTTAACTATTTAATTTTTGGCATTCACTGTAAAAAGCTATAATTTATGTCTGTATATTTCGTTTCACAGTGTTGTGCATTAGCACAAAGCAGCGTTGGCGCCAGAAATTTGTTGACAAGGGGTCCGAGCCAAGGGGTGAAGAAGCCTCAGTTGACAGCCCGGAATAAAAACTCCTTTTTAGGGGTCACTGGGAGAGTTTTTATGGCTTAGTATGGTTTAAAATGCTTTTAAACCACAATATTAGGGATTGGCAATCAAAATAACATTATTTGGATAGGCAAATTATTATTATTTTTTATTTTGATACGACGACCTACTCCTGCATCGAACGGAGGGGAAAATTCCCCCTTCTCCTGCTAGCGCCACCACTGGTACAAACTGTGCACTGACATTATGATTTTCTATGTACCAGATATGGTACAATCATGATTTTCATCAGGGGTTAGAGTGTCCCGCACTCCTCAGAGCAAGAAAAATTCACCTGGAAACCATTTCCTGCAAATTCAAGGTGTTTGCATGTTTTGGTATTGTATTGTTGATATCCAAGTCGAAGTAAACTGACTGTGGGTATCACCACATGCAGAAAAAAACTATTATTTATGTGTGTTAGGGAAGCTGATTAAACCAGTTCCCCCAGAAGTGGTTTCTTCCAGCTTGTGACACCTGTCATTATGATATAACATAACATGTTGCAATATACAATGTATATTGCAGTGAGGTTCACTGTGTGTGCTCAGGGTTTTACTAATAATAATAATAATAATAATGTCATTTTGTTAGGCACACGTATCCATCCCTAGTAGGGGTGCTCGCGGTGCCGTTTTCCACCTGCCGACTGTACATGTAGCCATTTTTCGCATTATTATGTTAATTAATTAATTTTAATTATTTATTTAATCTTAATGTATGTTTATTTGTGTCGGACCAGACATGGATGGGAAAGATAGGCAAAATAAGATGCAAGTACTGTATACTTTTAAGTAATATGCTAGGTTTATACTTGTATTGTGGAAAACTGCTAATTTTTTGTATTGGTATATAGGCCTATATATTTTTCGTTGGAAAATAATCAAAAAGTAGTACCACGAACAGGCGTGTCCTTTAAAAGACGAGTTTCGAGCGAACTCTATTCGATTTCTAATAGGGCGCCCCCTATCTAGTGGTAGTACATTTTCACGTTTTATTGTGTGCATACAAAATGAGGCAGTCGGATCTTTTGCAATTCTATACTCTTTGATATCATCAACTAAAGCCATGTCTTTATTAATTATATTGATTTTTGATCACTTTCACCAAAAACAACAAGTGCAAACAAGCAGCGTAACAGGCAAAATGTACAACATTTAATCGATTAACCTTGCCAGGCTGTTTTTTCAAGCAGAAAAGTCCAATGTGAGGTAGTGCCCATACAATATTGCGAATAGAATGACCAATCACCTGATTGTGAAAAATGCTACTATCTGGTGTTTGGCCAAGTGTCAACAGTATAATAGTATAATTTGACAAAGTTAAAGTAAACCCTAATCTTGTTTATCAAAATTAATACAAGGTAAACACAGCTTTAGGTTCATGCTTAATTTATATAACTTCCCACCAGATATCAGATGTGAGATTTTTCTGTTTTAGACCTTTTTATTGCAGAAACAATAGTTTC